CTTGAACTTACCTTTGATCCCTCAATCACATGATTTTCTGTGGCAAGTGCTTTCTTAAACCCTTCAGATGATCCAAATTCAACAAAACCAAACCCTCTATGTCTGCCTGTGTATTTGTCCTGTTCAAAATGGTAAGTGACCTATTAGTAACTTAAATTTTGCCTACAAAAATTCTAGCCCTTGGTCAGTGTTGAAGGATGAAAAAAAGTGGACAACTAAATGAACATGCAATAGCTTATGAAGAGAGAAATATCATGTGTTAAAATCTTTATGGTGAGAACCTCCCCGAAAAAATAGCTGTTACAAATGAAAATGCATGAACAGATTAATAAGAAGGCAAAGCAATTCAGAATAAAAATTTAGGGGTCACATGCAGCATTTCATAATTGCCTTGGTAACATTTTCCAAGAAAAGAAATTGAAGATTCTAAGACAGCGTAAAATAGTTTTTCTTCTCTTATATCATTAACAGAATTTAAATTGGATTTAACAAATTCGAGACCACTGGTAAATTGGATTTAACAAATTCAAGACCACTGACCTTACACCATCACAACTTTATTAACCTCTTCACTCCTAATATCTTAAAACTGATTCTCTTTATTATCTGCCATGCATTTCTTACAATGTTAATTCTGAGAATTTGGTGTTTGATATAAAGAAATGATCGCCTAGTTTATTTTTTTCGTTATTCTTTTCACTTGTCTGCTTGATATCGTATTGATATTGTAAGGAGAAATTCCCTCTAGTCACCCCTAGAAATGATAGGGTTACTGGATCCTTTTAAATTGCAAATTAATGCACTGCATGTACTTACAGATTTTCTTGAAAACCAAAAATTTGTTAAATTATTTAGTGTCTCCTGTTGCTTCATTCAAGGTGATAGGTAAACTATGCTGGCATTGGCAAGTATAAACAAAAGTGAACACAAGAATGAGTTAAAACACAGGCATCCCAAGCTCACATCTCAAGAAAAGGGAAAGATTAATTCTTGGACTTGTTTGTTTTTATTTCTGAAAACGTCACCCAATGTGTTACACAGTGTTAGGTAATGTGAGAAACCATTGAGAATTTGAACCCCTTATAAGGATTATTATGGGGAACAAAATATGGTCGATTTACAACACTACATATACTGAAATATGAACACTTTACGCGTTAAATTGATCAAACTTGCTCATTGCTTGTGTGTTGCTTGTGGTTTCTGGTGATCTCTGTCAATTTGAGCTTACTTTGCCATCAGTGTTATTCCTGTCATAAAATGGAGTCCAAGGCTGCTCACAAAACAGCAGAGATCACCAGAAACCACAATGGACACACATAGAATGAGTAACTGTTATTAATCTCACCTGTAAAATGTTCATAATATGAATTATAATTATGTATATAATTATCTCCCAATAGTTAGTGTTGTAAATCATCAGCATTTTGTTTCATTTCCTTATAATGGTTCAAATTATCACCAGTTCCTCGTGTAACCTAACACTGCGTAACACAATGCATGACGCTTCCATGGATAAAGACATACATTTCCAAGAATCATCTTTCCCTTCTCTCGAGAAGTGAGCTAGGGAAACTTGTGGTTATAAGAATTAATAAGTACTTACAAATGAAATTTTCGAACTTTTGACTTTTCCAAACTGCTGAAAGTACGCGCTCAGGGTATCTGTTTAAAAATTCATTAATACAAAGTAAGCATTTTACTCCTAAAATCTGACTGTCACTTCTCGGTGTAAGCCGGTTTTCAACCCACACTAACTGTCGTTAATTCTGCCTCCGTTATGTAACTAATTTTGAAACCATCATGGCTCATATTCAAATTAAAAGAAGCCTGATTGGGTTTCCCTCTTGTTTCGCGAGAAGCTGTAAATAATCTGGCGTTAATAGAAATTATTTTGAAGATTCGATTAACATCCTAGGAATAACAAATTGAAACTATAGCTGCACGTGGTTAGGGTTCCGAATGTAATATCTACAAGGTGCCATATCTGTCTGATGCCAATGATATGCTATTTTTTTAAGAGTTTCCTTAACAACAAGTGATCATTACTAACCTCGACAAACCGTCCATGGCACTTTGGACACGAAAATTGTGTGAGGACCCACAATTCGAGACGACGCCATT